ATAGATGCCTTAAGATTACTAAATGTGGAATACATTTTGATATTATATTGTTTCATAAGTGCTTCAAAATCTCTGTTGTGAAATTCCTTTTTTCTATCAACATGCAAAAATTTTGGCACTTTTTTTTGTGATAGAATAGATTTTATTGCATAAGCGACATCTTTACCATTTTTCGATTTTGTTTTCGTATATTATCTTCCAATTGTTCAATTGTTTCATTCAATCCTTCTTTCAGAAGTTTACGATGTTCTTGTGATAATTCAATATGCTGCTCTACTTGAACATCAATGATTTTGATTCTTTCTCTATTTTCTTCAATGATTTTTCTCAAATTTGCTACAGTTTCGCGTAACAGACGTAATTCTATTTCAATAAAATTTTTTAAAATTGTAATCTTTTTTTCAATTACTCCTAATGATGTTGCATCATTCAAATCTACTGGTTCAGCGAGATTACACAATCTCTTATTATCCATGTCAAACTGTTGATCCGCAGTTAATTGGAATCCTTCACCAGGAGGTCCACGAATAGCACCTTTTACAATATCTTTTGCTAACTATCGTCCGAAAACGTCAACACTCATTTTTAAACCTCTCACTTCAAAAGTTTTTCAAAGAATGAGTAGCTGTGTAGAATACATCAGATTAGTAAATGTTTTCAGCTTCACGTAATTCCTCTAAAATTGATTAAATTTCGTTAGTATGACTGAAATTTCCAGCAGTTTGAGATGCAATAAGTAAACGAAGTCGATCTACAAGTTCATTGGGATCATCCCAATAGATATAATCGGTAGGATGGTTTTGTTTATGTTTAATGATATATTGTTGTAAACTTCCTCCACTTTTTGGTATATATTTACTGATTATGTCGGTGAATTTTTTTAGATTCTTATCTACTCTGATACTTCTGTCAGGAAGATAATGCTTTCGATAGGCGTTTGTCATACTGATAATTCTGCCATAAGTGTTTTCATCTTCTTTTGTTATTTTTGACTGATCAGGTGAATTCATAAATAATAATTTCAATAGACCAGAAGTAGTATTGTATTTTTTATCACCAATATAAATAAAATTATTGTCGAACCTGACTTCAGAATCACCCATCATCAGTCGATTACCTTTTAACTTTCGTATGCCATACTTAGTATCTAATTCTTTGGACAAGAGCTTAGAATCGAACATCTTCAAATACCTTACTACAGGTATGTCTTTAATAGGAGTACTTTGATGGGTAATTGTTGCTGTTGTATAAGAATCGTCATCAGTTATTTCATAATCAGGTGTAAGGCTTTCTTGTTTGCTTTCAACTTCTTCTTTAGGCTCCTCTTTAATTTCTTCTCTTTTTATTTTTATTTCATGAGGTTCCTCTTTAATAAGTGTTTTATCAGCTAATTGTTTAAGAGGAGTCACCATAGGTTTAAATATTTCACTCATGGTTTGTTGAGTCATATCTCTTCCAAGTTTAATCAACTTATGCTTTTGGCGTATTCCATCACTAACTTTCGCTATTTGATGCCATATTTTTTTTCTTGTTGCAGCTTCGTAGTTTTCATGTTGACACTTTGACAATCACATACATAATGTACAATTTAATGTATTCACGGTGAATTTATACTTATGAAGCAATCAAATCCTCTTCTATATCGCCCTTTATTAAGATCACTGTCTTCATCAATTACCAGGAAGCCATATTTATCATTATTCCAGCACATTGAACATATATCTTGAAAATGAGAATAAGTCATGTCAGTATTTACATGATCATCGTAAATGTGTTTTAGATTCATGTCATCTTGCCCGAAAAGTACAAGAAAGTTTGTATTGTCACGCACCAAATGTTTAGGAATTCGTGAATAAGTTTGACAAAGATAGAAGCAGTCAATATCTCTATGTCGTCCCATACAAAAATAGATTTACATATTATCTTGTTTTTCGCATGCTACATCATCGAAAATCATGATTAAGTTCGGTTTTGCTTTATCCGGTTTTACCACTTCCTCATGCTCATTAAAAGCATAAAATTTAATACCTTCAATTGGTTCAATTAATTTTTTTTTTTACTGATATTTAGGTTGGTTCAATGATTTTGAATACAAATAAATATTTCCAAATCATTGTTCTTGAACAATGATAGTGCAAAGACGTATCAAAAAACAAGGTGCTGGTATTGTTAACACACTTATAAACTAATTGCGATTTGAACTTCATATACCAGGATATCATTATTGTGGTCCAGGAACTAAATTGAAGGAGAGATTAGCACGTGGAGATCCAGGAATCAATCCATTGGACGCTGCTTGTAAAGAACACGATATTGCATATTCGCAAAATCGAGATAACATCGAAGCTAGAAACGCAGCTGGTAGAATACTTGCTGAAAAATCTATAAAACGTGTTTTTGCGAGAGACGCAGATATTGCTAAGCGAATTGCTGCTTTAGGAATTTCCAAGGTCATGAAAGTTAAATCAAAATTGGGAATGGGTTTAAAAGAAAAAAACAAAAAGGACAAGGGAGTTGAACATTTGTGAAAAGTTGTTAATTCAGCAAAGCTTATGTCAAATTCCAGTTCAGATCCTATTAAATCTGCATTAGCTGCTGCACGAAAGACTGTTCGCGATGCTGGTGGAAAGAAAAAAATCAAAGTTCCACGTATTATACCAATGCCGCCAAAAGTGGGAGGTATTTTACTTCTTATACCTCTATTTGCAGGTTCAAGTGCAGTTGGTGCTGTAGCAGGTGGCGCTGCTGGCATTGCAAAAGCAATTAATGATGCTAGAGACGCCAAACGTCAATTAGAAGAAGCTAAACGACATAACGAGAAAATGGAAGCAATAGCTTTGGGTAAAGGTCTACGTCTAAAACCGCACAAGAGAGGATTAGGATTGTATTTGAAACCGGTAAAAAAAAAACTTTTAAATTTACCCCATCGTGCACTGACTGATATTGCACTTCAAAAATATGCAAAAATCATGAAAATGCCCTTTTTTCGTGGTGTTTTTATGCGAAATGATCTTCCAAAATCTTCACCGTGGAAAAATGAATCAGCAATTATTAATCTCGATGATAAAACTGGACCTGGAACACATTGGGTGGCATATAAAAAACGTGGTGATAAAGTTATATATTATGACAGTTTTGGCAATTTGCAGCCACCACATGAGCTTATGAAATATCTTAATGTTGATAAAATACTGTACAATCATGAAAAACATCAAGATTACAGTGCAGATAATTGCGGACACTTGTGTTTAAAATTTTTACGTAGAAAAGTATAAAAGTAATATGCACTTTCCAATAAGCATTAGTCATGGATGATTCACTCACGTTAGCATTGTCTGGAGAAACGTCCATTCTAGAAGCGTTTTATTTTCTGCCAATTGAATTATCATTATCTAAAAAATATACCCTAGGACTTGTGAATTGTTAACCTTCAATTCCATTCCAAATATTGATAACGGCAATAATGAATTTTATTATACACTCAATGGTGAAGATAAAAGTATTAAAATACCCACAGGAAGCTATGAAATTGAAGACATTGAAAATTATTTGAAGAAAGCTGATACTCAATTATCAATTTCTATTAAGCCCAATAATAATGAACTACACAGTGAAGTTTACAGTGAAAATGCAACAATAAATTTCAAACCGCATGATTCTATTGGTAGTTTGTTGGGCTTTAGTCCACGAGTTAGTTTTCCAAAATTGACTCACACATCAGATTTACCAGTATCTATCTTGAAAATTAATGCATTAAGGATTGAATGTAATATTACTACAGGAGCATACATGAATAATCAGTTGGTACATACGATTCACGAATTTTTCCCATCAGTTCCACCAGGATATAAGATCATTGAAGTTCCATCAAACGTCATTTATCTTCCAATCACCATACAGACAATACATAATTTACAACTGCGCATTGTTGATCAAGACGGTCAATTGGTTAATTTACGTGGTGAAACTGTAACAATACGTTCACATTTGAAATCAGTCACGTAATGGGGATTGTTTATAAACCAATAGTAGGGGGAAGCTACAAAACTAACATATCATGCCTGAATCCCATCAGTCATCGAAGAAAATTCAAACGATTAACTTATCAAAATCGATTATTCCTACAACGTCTGGGACTAAAAATACACAAAAGTGCAACAAAATTAAAGTGAAAGTGTGTTGTCTTGCATGTCTTTTACCATGGAAGAAGAAAAATTAGCAATAAGCAAAGGTGTCATATTTGATGAGTCTATTGCACACATTGAGGTGCATGCTCATCAACCATAGGCATCTACAACATATAATAATAATGATGAGATACATATCTCAGTTCAACATCAAGATTTATGTCTGTTGCCAAGCAAAAGTTCCCTTCATATTATGGGGAAATTTACAAAATCTAACGGAAATGCTGTAGCAGCAACATCAAGATTCATTAATATGGCCGTATGCTATTTATTTGAAGAAATACGATATGAATTGAATGGTGTTGAGATTGATCGAAATAAAAATGTTGGTCTCACAAGTCTCATGAAGGGATATCTATATCTTCATCCGGGTCAAATAAATTATTTAGATAATGCAGGTTGGGTAACTGATAATGAAAGATTATTTAATGATAATGGATACTTTGATGTTTCGATACCGTTACATATGCTATTGGGATTTGCTGAAGATTATCATCGCATAATTGTCAATGCCAAACATGAATTAATACTTACTCGTTCAAATACCGATCTTAATGCAATTGTACAAGCTACAGCGGAACCTGAAGAGACGATTACGCTTATAAAAATTGAATGGATAATTCCTTATGTCACTGTTGCAGGCATAAAAAAAGTAGAATTGTTAAGTTACATTGCAAAAGACCCACCGATTCCAGTGAGTTCCAGATCATGGAAATTATATGAATATCCAAAGCTGCCGAATACAACCAAACACGTATGGGTCGTAAAAACATCAACTCAATTGGAAATAGCCCGCTATGTTATATTAGGATCTCAAACTGCACGCAAAAATGATGCTACAAAAGATGCAAGTCATTTCGATTATTGTGATTTAAGGGATGTGAAACTTTTCCTTAATTCACAATGCTATTGTTCTGACTTCGAGTCGGCCGAATGAGCAAACTGAAAACTAGTGGACTGTAATAATTAAGAGCAGAATAAGAACAAAGGTTGGATGCTAGAAGGTTCCAAAAAATAGTTTATTAACACCGAATTGCTTGGGTTTTATAGATTTTATTCAACAATAACACTTAACATACTCAATAGAACTTAATAATCACTACATATAATTGAGTTGACTGTACCATAATTGTTTGTACACGTATGAGTTGTCTAATGGTTATTTTTTCACCAAATAACATAGTCTCAAAAAAACAGTGAATAGCAACATTCACAGTATACACCAGAGTTGTTCGGGGGAGCGATGTATAGGTGAATATAGCGAGTATAGGTCCACCACAGGGGGTGCTTCCGAAGCTGGGATATGCTGATACCTCGAGAAGCACAATCAGCTGGATTTTGTTTGCCAGGTACAAACCTCCAAACGCTGATTGGAGTGAGATCTTGAATTGCTGACACTCTGTTTCTTACAAACTCCTTCCAACGGGATGAGTGAGACTGAATCCAGGTCAAAGTCACTGAGGAGTCTGTCCAACATACGAGTTGAGTTGGCTGAATGTCTAAGTTGTTCCTTACATAAGTGATTAGTCTGGCAAGCAGCAATGCTGCGGTGAGTTCGAGTCCGGGAATAGACATCTTCTTCAATGGAGCAACTTTAGACTTTGAGCAGACTATAGTTGAACAAGTTCCATGATCTGGATGAGTAGCCCGTATGTAAACAACAGCTGCCATAGCTGCTTGTGAGGCGTCTGAAAAACCATGAAGTTCCACGGTCGATTTCTGAGTAATCCGTAACCATCGTGGAATTGAGAGGTCTGAAACATGTGAGAGTTCTGATCTGAAGCTGTTCCACTTGGTGATGATGTGATCTGGGGCTTGGTCATCCCATGACAGTTTATCTAGCCAGATTTCTTGTAGCAACATCTTTGCTCTGACAATGAAGGGTGCTAGAAATCCAAGTGGATGGTAGAGTTGTGCTGTTTCTGATAAAATTATTCTTTTTGTGAGCTTGGACTTCTCACGAGGAGGTTTTGAGTTGAACTTAAATGAGTCGTTCGCTGGAATCCACGAGAGCCCAAGTAATTTCGTTTTGCTGCTCTCAAATGAGTGGATCTGCTCTTCTGATGAATTGTCTGTAAGTGAGTGAAGGAATTGAAGTGAGTTGCTGTGCCATTTCGCTAACGGGAAGCCACCTGCCATGCAGAGTTGTCTGACTTGGGTTGAGATGTCTATCAGTTGACTCACGGTGCCAGCACCTCCAAAAATATCGTCCACATATCTTCCTTTTAGTAGTGGATCAACAGCTAGAGGGAACTTATGACCTTCATCCTTTACTAGCTGGATCATTGTGCGAACAGCCAGAAATGGGGCTGACCTGGTACCATACGTGACTGTTGTGAGTTGATATGGGATTATCTTGGAGTGCTCGTCCACCCACAGGATTCTCTGGAGATCCCAATCATCTTGATGGACTTTGATTTGCCTGTACATCTTTGTAATGTCTGATGTAAACACAAATTTATGCTGTCTGATCAAAATGAGTACGTCTGCAATGTCTTTCTGGACTTTGGCACCAGTATGTTGAATATCGTTCACTGATAGACCACTCGAAGATGGACTAGAGCCATTAAATACTACCCGAAGCTTTGTAGTAACACTGTCTTCTCTTAAGACACCATGATGAGGCAAATAATACACTGGAGAGTTGACTGGACTTGCCTTGGCTCGTCTCATGTGGTTCAGTGACTCATATTCTTGCATAAAGTTGTGATAGAGTTGTGCATATGAGTCATTCTTTGTGAGTCGTCTGATCATGTGTAGTAAACACTGATGAGCTCTCGCTGATGAGTTGCCTAGAAGAGATGGTGATGCTTTGAGTGGTATTCTCACAATATATCTCCCATCTTGATCTCTTGAATGAGTCGCAACATAATGATCTTCACAAGTTTGATCATCTGGGCTGAGTTGGCTGGCTAAGGTCTCTGGAACTTCTTCTTGAACCCAGAATTTTGTCAAGAGATCAGATACTTGCTGGTATGAGTTGACGCTTGCTGCGTGATGAGTTCTCTGACTTGAGCATCTTGTCGGGTGTGGACTTCCAATAAGCATCCATCCAAAAATTGAATCTTGGGCTATTAGCGATGACTGAGGACATTGTTTGATGCCCGCTTTCACAATCAGACCATAACAATCTGCTCCTATTAAGATGTCAATGGGTCTTGGAGTTGAGTAGTCTGGATCAGCAAGTTGCAGAGAGTTGAGAGCTGACCAGTTGAGTTCCTTGAGTTGTCTGGTTGGTAAAGTACCAGTGACACATTTGAGGATATGAGCATTAATTGTAACTTGCTCCTGTGTGTGAGTTGATCTAAGTGTCACTGTTGTCACTCCTCTAGTTTGTACAGCTGGTTCGTTACCAATTCCCAGCACTAATATTACTGATGGACGACGTTGGAGATGACAAGTCTTTACCACACTTGATGAGATGAACGTCAGCTCAGACCCTGAGTCTATCAGGAGTCTTACTGGAAGCTGAGAGTAGTCTGAAAGTAATACTGCATTGGCTGTGGCGAGTAAGACTGCTGAGCTGTCTGATTGAACTGGAGACTCGTTAGTGCATGGATCTTCTGCTGCCCTGAGTGCTGAAAAGAGTCTTCCATGGATCTCTGAGTTGTCTGTATCGTTCTTGGTGATTGTTGAATCATGTGAGTCGTCTGAGATTTGACTAGTGTGAGTTTGACTCTTTTCTTCAGCTGTAGGAGATCGAACGAGACCTTCTGACTCTTCTTCCAGGACCCTCAACCCTCCTGAGGCCGAAACCTCATGTGCTAAGGTCATCCTTTCCGTCGAGTCATCAGAGAAGCATTCTTTACTCCTGTCAGCACATATAGATTGACATGATTCATAACCATTAATCGTTGAGTTGTCTGCATGTTGAGTGATCACACCACCACTTGGAGAATTGACTAAAACATAATTAGAGTTGACTGCAGAGAGTTGACTATGATGATGAGTTACCTGGTGAGAAGTCTGCTTAGATGAATGGGTGTGATCTGGAGTCGGCTGTGGAAATGGCACATCGTCATCTCACTGGGAGGTTGATGGGTGGTGGCTGCTATGAGTCGGCTGCGGTTCTTGGCCAGGGCCATACCCTCTTTTTCTCAAGGACTCTGTCCTGGGCGTATGTATCATTGAGTGGTGCTTTAAGTTGCACGTGCTGCATCGTTTCTCTGACTGGCACACCTGGATGGAGTGGTGGCCGAAGCAATTGAAGCACAGTCGTGCTGCGAGGACCAGCTTGTACCTTTCTTGCTGTGAAAGTCCTGCGAACGCTTTGCAGTCAGGCACGTAGTGATCTAGGCTGCTGCATTGATCACACGGGTAGTCTGCTTGTCGTTTTTGCGCCGCATGCCTGGAGGTTCGAGTTGTCTGCTGTTGAGTAGACTGTTGTTGTGATCTGGACCTTCTGGTGATCACTGGAGTAGGCCACCGTTTTGCTCGACGGGCTGCATCTTGAGCTGACTCCATCGCACGTGCCCTGGTAGAGATGAAGTTGAGTAGACTGTCTAGAGTTGTCGGTGAGCGAGACCTACTTCGCTCGAGTTCCCATGACTCACGTAGCGGTTGCTCCAATTTACTGGCCACCAGGTACACCAGAAAATAATTTGCAGCGTCTGTAGGTACATTGAGAGCCTTCAAGGCATCCAAGTTTTGCCGTACTACTTCCACCAGGTTGTCGAGTTGTTCAGCTGACTTTGATGATGGTGTGGTCACACTGAACAGGTCCTTGATGTGGGCAAAGATGAGTTGTTCTGGGTCATCGTACCTGGCCTTGAGCTGATTCCATGCCCGCTCATACCCATCATCATTCATTACAGCATGACGGATCAGTTGAAGTGGGGGACCTGATACGTTGGCCTTCAGGTAGTGTAGTTTGGCTACTGGTCTGAGATCTTTCCGATCGTGGACGAGGGACGTAAACATGTCCCGAAACTGCGTCCACGTTGATGAGTCGCCTACGAATGTTGGGAGAGGGATCTCTGGGAGAGTTGCCTGTCTGTAGATGATTGGAGTTGTCTGCTGTGTAGAGGCTTTGTAATCATCAATGGCCTTCTGGATGTCTTTCTCGTGTAGCTCTGATTTTACACGATGGAGAGTTGACTCTATATGGTAATGAAGCCGTAAAGCACTTTCATACACTCTGTCGGTCATATACTGGTGTTTGAATAGTGTCAACCGACACCCTACTCCTAATGCCTCATGCTCCACCACGAAGTATGTCCAGAGGTCGTTGAGTTGTGATAGCTTTGCCTCGATTATGGACATTGTGACGAGAGCAGGCTGTCGCACAAGATCAGCCACGTCTTGCTGCATAAATTGAAGCTGCTCATACCTGGACATTTGAGACGTCAATTTAAATAATGTGGTGTTTGCCAGTGCAGGTGGTGACTTTGACCTGTCACGTGATGTTGTTGCTTTTTCGGGTACCTTAAGTGTTGTTCCACTGGTACCTTCTGCCTGAGAGTCGACTGGAACTGGTGATGGTGCTTGGCTTACACACACTTGCTCTAATATCTCACTAATACCTTCAACTGACTCATTGTCTTCGGCTACATCGACGTAGTCCGATTTTGCAGGCGAAATTAACCGTTTGTCTGCCATAGTTCAGTTGAGTGAGTTGTCTAATATCACTAACTACACTTATTACTACGAAAATTCACACAAAAATGTTGTTAGAGTTGTCTGTTGTCACCTTGATACAACTAGTGGGCTTTCAATAAAGTCTCAACACCAAAAGAATCACACAAATTACTTAACTGAGTCTACGAGCTCTTAATAATAATTTTAGGTGACTAAACTTACACTAAGGACACTACACTAAATAATAACTATGTTTATATACAAGTGAGTTGCCTGTGTCAAGGTTCTCTTGACTCTCACACAACCAAACTGCGCGCCAAGCGTCTCAAGAAATTGTTTAAGTTGTGAGATGAGCACCACTGTCTCACAATAATACAGATGAGTGTCACTGGGCACTGGAATGCGTAAACACCTTTTGTCTGTAAGGTTGTTTACACACTGACACTGAAAGTTATTTGAGTCTACCTAAATTCCAAGCACTTTATACAGAGCATTTCACAAAATATTCACAAAAATTATGAAGCCCTCGAACCTTCTAGAATTGTTCGATATGCATCCAAGCCGTTCGTATCCGGCTCGAAGGACCAAATGTTCTGACTTCGAGTCGGCCGAATGAGCAAACAAAAAAACTAGTGGACTGTAATAATTAAGAGCAGAATAAGAACAAAGGTTGGATGCTAGAAGGTTCCAAAAAATAGTTTATTAACACCGAATTGCTTGGGTTTTATAGATTTTATTCAACAATAACACTTAACTTAAACAATAGAAGGTAATAATCACTGAGTTTAGGCGAATTGACTGTACATTAATTGTTCATACACTTATGAATTGTCTGATGGTTATTTTTTCACCAAAAAAAAAGGTCTCGAAACAGTGAACATTCACGGTATACACCAGAGTTGTTCGGGTGTGCGATGTATATGTGAATGTCCGTGAGGCACTATGGCGTCGACGCCAGTTCAGCTTCGCGCCCAAAGACACTACAACTGACTATACTGGACTACTGGCACTGATGAGAATAATTTCGGTGATTCACGTATGTTCGTGAGAGTTGTCTGAGTCTACTTGACCGTCTTTGGCACTACCAAAGGTGAGCTGACTGCACAAAACCGCGATTTGACTGCGAACAATTATACAGAGATGACCGCGTGATTTGCCTGGAGCTAACTGACGCCACAAGTGCTCGACCGCGTGCTTGTTGGCGTCACTAGGGCCGTAGAGTTGCCTTCTGGGCCATAAGGGAAATACTTCCCGATGATTGGTCCAGTGAGTTGACTGACGCGCCGGTGGACAAGTCCGGCATTAACAATTTTTGAATATTCCTGACTAACTGACTTGGGCCCCTCCAAGTCAGAACAGCTATCCATATGGCAACATGAATCTTGACATAAGTCACAATCAATTTGCCTTATTATATGATATGTATAGAGATTTCCAAACATCATATTATGATAAAGAAGCAGAACCTCTACTCACGAAAAAAAAATTTATAGATATAGCACCACTCGTTGTAATTGATTGTTCTAAACAAAATGAATCCTTAAAATCAGGACCAGTTGATGTTCGACTGGAACTTAAATCATCAAAAGCTTTTCCTGCTAACACATCAGCCTATTGTTTGATCCTACATGATCGAATGATAGAGTATAAACCTTTCAGTGCGCAAATGAGAAAACTAACATGAAATATTGTAAAAAATATACATATTATATAATTATGATTATATTATTCATGTATTCATCAAATTTTTTTTTGCTACAAATAAATTGTGTACATGAAAAAGATGACTGTTTTCATTCATTTATTTCCAGAAAAAATCTGATAGTCGGTAGCGCAAATTTTGAGAGAATATCAAAACATTGACAAAACTTTGAAAAAAAATCAGTTATTTTTTCTGATAGTGAAATTTTAATCGCGGTTGGTAAAAAATCGGTATTATCATTAACGATAATTTATCGAGGTCGGTAAAAAAAAACGCTGCCGATAATTTATCAGTGTCGATAACTTATCGCGGTCGGTAACTTATCGTCAAAGTTATCGCGGTCGGTAATTAGTGCGGATCAGAACCCACTTTTTTTTACTTGGCCGGTATTGCAGAGTGATCCAGAACCAGCCCTGCTTATCTACTAATATGAATATTTAGTGAATAGAATACCTGATGGATATATGATGACAATATTTTATCGAAAAAACAAATTTTAAAACAAAAAATCAGCAATGAAAGAATTTTAAATTCGTGTCAGGATGGAGAAAACAGCATTAAAGACGCCATAATAGTCAATAATATGGAATTGTGTTCATAAAAATTGAACATTGTTACTTACAAATGATTATTGATCATAGTAATATTTAAATAATAAGTTTTAAATTGTTATAAACAATAAAAATAGGGATCCATTCTATATATATGAGTTTTTTTAACGCACAATTTTTTCTTTCACTGGAAGAAAGTAACTTACCATATCATATGAATAAAAACAGACTCATTTCGTTTATAACAATTCCATTTGTTATAAAGAATGGAAACGGGTTCTATTCGAATTGTTTTTTCATTTTCTCTACTGGGAAGTTGGTCGTGTGGACCTTGCGGGTCGCACCCAGACCACTGCAGAGCACTGATATTTTGTTATGGATTTTTTGGAAAAAAAGAATCGTTTTTTGGCATCGATTTTGATATTATTTTAAAAATTTCAAAGACACCTATCTCGTAATTTTCCATGCTCTTTCGATTGAAATTGGTCTCATTGAAAAATAATTAATGGTTTTTGAGTTATAGATTTTTTGCTATTTTTAATAACAAAAACAAAGGATATCCGCAAGTTTTATAAATAGGTAAATAAAGGAATTTTTCATTATTTTCTGTGTTGTTTGGAACATATAAGGTCATTTTGGAAAATTTTGATTTGAAATATGTGAAAATTAAAAATCGGCTTCATATGGTGTCAACTTTGAGAGTGATTTTCACCCTTTCAAAACGTTTCTCCACAGAAAAAAAATTTGTGGTTTATCATTTTCGACGTAGATTATTATATAGAAGTCTCAGCTAAATCACCGGTAACCATCTCGCGAGGTTTCCTTGTTAGTAAAATTACTAATTATTAATTTAGAAATTTAAATTACTAAATTATCAATTACTTCTATCTTTAATGATTTGGCAAAAAAAATTTTAAATTACTCTTGTAATTTGTAATTTTACTAAAAATATTATCAATCATAAAAGTAATTAGTAATTTGATCTATCTCCCAGGCCCCTTTTTTTCGGAAGATTCTTGACCGCCACCTCCATTACCACCGCGGTTATTCTCTCCACCTCTACCGGCTTCTTTCCGTCCCCAAGCATCTGTTTCAGGAGATGCTCTGGCAATAGTATTGCCACAATATTGTGCATACGCTGAGGGTTTAGCAGCCTAGGTATCGTCGACTGTTTTATTAGTTTCTTCATGACCAGTTTGTCTTTCCTGGCCTTCCTGTACTCTTCGTTCTCTGCACCGAACTTCTCGGCTCTTCTCTCCTTTCGTCTTATACGCTAAGCTATCCTTCTCGCCTTGAGACAACGCCTTTTTTTTTCTTCCACCTTCTCTGACCAGCAGTAGACCAACTGTGTCTTCCCACCACCTGGTTTTTTCCGGAGCATAGATTCATCACACGCCGTTTTCAGGTAGTCGATAAGTTGTGTCGGGCCTCAGCTTTCATCGCCCTCTACTTTTTCCGCCAGTCTCCGAACTTTCACTTCCTTTACGTGGTTTCTCAGGTCTTCTACTCGTAATTTATTGACCGCCCAGGAAAAAGTCACGCTTTTACTCAGTTTTTCTTTCAGCGTTTCAGGGCTGTCTCGTACAGTGAACTTTATGTCCTCCTGTACCCTTTTGTTTTGTGTCCTGCCCAACAGATTGTCTGACACCATAGTAATATCTACTACAGAGCCAGTTGTACCTCTTTGGAAAATAAACGAGTTCCAGCAGTTGACAAAGACTTAAGCTTCTTTTAGTGCTATATCTACCCCCCCCCCTTTATCCGTCTGAGCTACCCTCCCAGACTGTAGATTCGGCAACAAAATCACCTTCCACCCCCCTACTATCCTTTTCGCTTTCTAGGACAGTTTCCAGAGCCGGTATCTCGCGATAGAACGCTCGAAGGCGATACTGCCTTCGAGACATTCGGAAAAAAAAAGCAACTGACGAACATGATGCCGTTCACCACCAGTACTATAAAGTTACTTTCCAACTCCACCAGCCACCCTATCTTGAGATTGCGGTTGAGCCGCACCTATAAAGAAATTTTATTCGAAGCATAATTATGTATCATATTTGCACTGACAAAGGGAAACTATAGTAAACATGTATTGATAGGGCTGGCCTTGCAACGAAACCTCTGCTACTGTTGTACCCTTTTTTGATAAAAAACATCGAAATAAAGAGAATATTGAAAGACTTTTTCAGCTCAAAACATGGAAAGAGGTATTACTCACTTGGAAAACAGTATACGTACCACTTATCATTTTTCTAACGAAACGGAAAAGGTCCCTCGATTTTCAGGAGACTTCTTTTCATTTGAGTGACTGGAAATGTGGAACAATCTCATAGTGTTCGTGTTCGAAAAAATTCAAATTTAAATGACAATAAATTTTGTTTCCCAGAATGTCCGTAATTCATGCAAATATATTACTTCAATATGCGACTGTATTGAAATGATTTTAATGAGTATATTTCGAAATAATAGAATCAATTTTTGAATTAAGTTAAATGCTATTTAAACGGAAAAAAGTAGATATTTTGAACTAGTAGTTTTCTAATTCAAAATATCAGCCATACATGTATATCAAAATTACGAGTATATTAAATGTTCAAAATGAGATAGAATAGATATGACATACACGGAAATAAATATTCAGGAATAATGATCCCAAATCTTTAGTAAAAATTACTGTGCTCCGCCGTAACCACGATGGGACTTCTAAGCCCATCCAAAATTATCAGGCTAATCAAATAATTTTTAAGGAGTCGGCGTCGTAAAAAATGGAA